GGGGGGGTTGGGAAAAATAAATTCCATGGAAAAAAAATTGCTATCAAAGAAGTCATTTTAGTGGAAAATAGAATTATTTTCCATGGAAAATTCATGATATCAAATAGGGCCTAAGTGATCGTTTGGTTGCATTTCCTAGCAAATAAAAATCATCATTTTCCTAAAGAAAATGTTTTCCTTCTTTTTTAGGAAAATATGATCACCTAACCAAAAGTTGAAAAATATTTTCATGAAAAAACTATCGATCAAACACTCAATAAGTAAGAATTTTGGTGAAAAAATAACATTTTTAATGAAAAATAAAGCTAATAAAACACACCATGAGTGTGAGTAATTATCGGCTACGAGAATGAATAAATGCTCATTAAATGTTTGAAACATGACATTATCCCGACGGCTCATTGGTCATGTTTCATAACATTGTAATAACACGTCATAGGCATCAATATGTTCATGATCCCGCACGTTATTCGAGACGGATAAAAGACAATTTGCACTCCGTTGTCGTTGCAAACATCACATCAATCACTTCTTACACCGCTCCATGCCCTCGAGCACAACTTACGTTGATGCGGCATCTCAAAGCATCACCACTACCGTGGACGCTAAAGGCCACTATATAGCTAAGGTTGATGGCTCTTCTCATCGCTTTAGAGCCACTTGTTAACGTTCCTACTGTAGGCTAAATTGCCTAAGAGGTAGTAATTAGTGAGGTGTTAGGTTGTGCCTTCAACATCTCGCGAAGCAATGGTTGATGAGGCGATGTGATGCTCCTTCATCCTTCATCACCCGAAGTATGATAAAATGAGGCATCAGAGAATGTTTATGCGACTCTTTTCTTAGCTGACAATCATGCCAATTTTTCACGTAGATAGATTTGTAATAGTATCTATAAATGTGTTAACTGTACATTTTTATTAAAAAAAAATATTGTTGTTACCAGGCAATCGGTTCGTATTTAAAATGATCTTGACTAAACAATGTGTGGAAAATGGTCAGAAAAAATAGGAGTGTCACATTAGTTTTTAAATGTCTGCCTATAGCTCATGTCTAGTAGGTTGTGAACATGATCGTGCAACAACGAAAGGCATTCTATTTATAATCTTGGAATATGATCATGATTTCACTGTACGTGCACTAAGTTTGTTATTTATCTAATCGTTGGGAGTCATTACTAACTTAAATAAGATTGTATCAATGATTCAAATCACATCCAACAAGTTTATTATCCAAATTCAGGGGTTGTTACTAGAACTTTTAGAATAGAACTTGGAAATCTTTTTCTTAATAGATGAGGGGAAAGATGTAATTTCACACGAGAATAATTTGAACCCCCCCCCCCCCGGCGGAAAAGAAAAACGAAAAATGAAAAAGGAATAATCACATTTGCCGGCTAATACAGATTGGAGGTAGTAGTATGATACTCTATATTACTATATGATGCTACCAAAAATCGTACCTGCTGATTTTTCGAGCTTGATGACTGGTGAGGAGCACGAACGTGATCTTCCGATACCTGAAACAAAGGCAACGAGGTGTGTTCTCGTCGTCCCTCCGATGCTTAAGTCAGAAAGGGAAATATATGCGTGAGGCTATGTGCTGAAGAACAATGTAAAACGTACCTGAATAATGGTTCAAGGTCCTGTATTTATAGGGGTAGGTAGTGTGTTCATATCAGGATTCCGCATTGCACCTGTAGTAGGATAGCTTGATTTTGCAATTTTATATCAATGAGTCCTACGCGAGATAGGAGTTTGAATTGTGGTATAATTGTGATACCAATAGAGTTCTTCTGGGCATAGGAGACATAAATTAAGGATATTTAGTCAGAATAAATCTCTCGTCAGACAAGGCGCTGTCGTAGGTCATAATCCCGAGGACATAGTCCCGAGGACATGTCGAATGATTGTGTAATAAATCTTCGGGCTATTATCCCGGGCATACATGATACCCGAGCACATATGTCCCGAGCATTTTGATACTCATACCGACGAAATTGAGTCCTCGGTCTATATTCGTCGGGAACAAAACTCGGTTATATCATTGGCCCCCGTGCACCTGTGCTCGATAATATGCACGAGGATAGGTGCAAAAAGGTCCCAGTTACAGTCCTCGGTATAGCCTCTGTCGATTAAATACTGAGGAAGGCCTCCTGAGGGCTGACGTCAGATGTGGTAATGACGCCAGCCCTAGTAGAAAGGCGGTGTAATTTTTAGACCGTGGGATGTAGGACACGTGGCATGATCGAACGGTTCAGGATGCGACCTTTGGGCTCCCACCCATGTTTCCCTATATAAGCCTCCATTCCTATTCATTTTTTACTTTTTTACTATCAGTAAACCTTGTCGGAATCGTCGGGATAAGGTGAGTCCTCAAGTCTTTAAGTTAATTGTTTTTAGAAAAGTCTATATTTAAG